CCCATAAATAAACTCAAATCACTTTTGAATCAAACTTAGCTAGATGATCTCTATCATTGAGAACATAGCTGACACATCCAAACACATGCATGTATTCTAGATTAGGTTTCTTACCATAAAGAATTTCATATGAAGTCATCATAGATCCTAATCTTAGGTACACACGGTTTGAGATGTGACAGGCTGTGTTGACAGCCTCAGCCCAAAACCTCTTAGACAGATTTTTTGCACTCATCATCACCCTAGCCATTTCCTGGATGGTTCTGTTTTTTCTTTCAGCAATGCCATTTTGCTGAGGAGTTTTTGGAGCAGAAAATTCATGCTTTATACCCTTTTTATTACAAAATGCAACAAATAAAGCATTCTCAAATTCTTTTCCATGATCAGATCTTATCCTACGAATAGAAACTTGAAATTGAGTTTTAACAAACCTATACAAATTTCTGAATACATCAAAAGTGTCTGATTTCTCTCTTAAAAAATACACCCAAGTATATCTTGAAAAATCATCAACACACACAAAGACATATTTTTTACCACCTAGGCTTTCTACCTCTATAGGACCCATAAGATCCATATGTACAAGTTCAAAACAAATAGTGGTACCAACGTGTTGCAACACTTTGTGTGGTACTCTGGTTTGCTTTCCCTTCTGGCACATTCCACATATAGGAATATCCTTGATCTTGAGATCTAGTACTCCTCTTATAGCATTGTACTTGTTGAGCAGCTTCAGATTCTTGAAATTTGTGTGGCCTAGTTTCTGGTGCCACAGCTCTACTTCACTTACTCTTGAGCTCTTGCATGAGATGGTGTCACCTGTTTGATAGCAATTATCCATTGATCTGGAACCTGTAAGTACACAATGATTTTGATTATCAAACACAGAACAACAGTATTTATCAAATTCTACACGTAGATCATCATCACACAATTGACTGATACTGATGAGGTTTGACCCCAATCCTTCAACGTGTAAAACATTTGAGAGTTTTGGAAGCCCCTCAATACTGAGTGTTCCACGTCCAACCACTTTGCCTTTAGCTCCTCCTCCATAGGTTACACGTCCTCCATTAAGTGTGTGGTAGTTTGATAGAAATTCCTTTGTTCCAGTCATGTGTCTAGAGCATCCACTATCAAAGTACCATGAACCTGAAATGTTAGCATTTAAAGAGGTGTATACTGCCTTGCACAAAAGTTTACCTTTGGGAGTCCATATTTTACACTCCTTTTTGGTAAATTCTACATTTTTCTTTGAGGTGTTCCTTGAAGTGATGTGGCTTATTTTATACAACATTTTGTCATTGCTGAGTTTTTCACAAAATGGACGAATGTGCCCTGGTGAGAAACAGTAATGACAAACATAACCTCTTATTCTGGAATCTGGAGTGGTGACTGTGGACTTCCTGCAATCCTTTCTGTTTGCACCCTTTTCTTTTACAAAGACCATTTCTTTCTTCTTTACTGGCTTCATTTGTTTTTTGAACCCTAGCCCTTCATGTTTGTAGTGCTTTTCCATTGACACAATCTCTTCGAGTTTAGTTGTGCCAGTGTTTATCCTCTTGATTGCTAGAGTTGCCTTTTTGAGTTCTTCTTTCACCTTTGCCAGTTCAAGATCCTTCTTGGTGATTCCAACCTCCAAATGTGTGATTGTTTCTTTGAGGGAGGAATTTTCCTTGTTGGCTGCATCTAGAGCTTGAGTCTTCTTCTCCAGGTCAAGAGCTAGTTTCTTACACATTTCTTCCTCATCATTAGCTGCTTCAATGCTGGATTCTGCTGTATTTAAAGAAATAGAGTTTAAACATGTATAATGATCAGTATTTAATTCACAAACTGAAAGTGTTTCAGAAATGAGTAGTCTGAGCTTGGTTCTGCAAAGGATTAAACATTGTTAAAGAAACACTCATTGTATTTAAAGAAATAGAGTTTCTTTAAATGATTAAACATTGTTAAAGAAATACTCATTGTATTTCAAATACTCATTATAATGATCATTAGCCAAATCAATCAAATACTCATTGTATTTAAAGAAATAGAGTTTAAACATGTATAAAGATTTAACAATGTTTCAGTTTCCTCCATTCTCAGTCTCTCAAATTTGGAAGAGAGTAATCTGAGCTTGGTTCTTTTGACACTATCTGATCCCTCACAATGTAGCTGAAGAATTTCCCAAGCATCATTTGCAGAAGTGCATACAGAGATTAATTTAAACATTGTTAAATCTACTGAATTAAAAATTGCATTTAACGCCTTTGAGTTTTGGTTAGCATTTGATAGATCGTCTGGTGTCCACCGTAATTCTGGAGTTGGAAAAACATCTCCGTCCACATCTGTGATAGTTGGTGGCTTCCATCCAGTGAGAATAGATCTCCATGCTCTTTCATCAATGGCTTTGATGTACGCCCTCATCTTGACTTTCCAGTAGGTGTAGTTCGTGCCATCAAGTACAGGAGGTCGCATAGAAGCAGTCATCTGAGTATCCATCACGAATTCGTTTCTGTAAGAAAAATAGGAACAAACACTTAGTATACGTCAAGTGTTGGCTCTTGATGCCAATTGAAAGAATTTATGGTCCCGAATTCGTATTATACAGAGATGTTATCTAAAATGTTATCACACTTGAGACAACATGCAGCGGAAATATAAAGATTAAAAGACAATGCTCAGAATTAAAAATGTTCACAAGTAAAGACTTGTGAACTTGCCCTTTACAGGACGGAAAAATATATTAAAAACAGTATTCTAAGAATACAAACAGAAGAGTGCGAAAACTTCTTCCTTATGAATGAATCTTTTTCAAGATCACTCTTACAACCAAATCTAGATACTAAAAGAAAAATATTAAAAATTCTAGATTTCAAAGAATGTACTCATAAAGAGTACGTACAACAGATCCTAGAAAACACACTAAAATTCTCGAGATTAAAACTTCAGCTCTATTTTTGTTTTCCTCGAAATCCGTACCAATCTTGAGTCTTGAGTTGGGTATTTATAGACTTGCCAAGCTTCCACTTCTCAGCCCATGATCTGCAAGAAAACCAACCACAAGAGCACTCAAGATAATGGGTTAGTGGGTTAGTTTGGAGGTTAAGATAAATTCCATAATTAAATCCACTAAGCATTACTTAACCCCACTTAGCCCACTAACTAAGATTTAGTTTAAAGTTAAGAAAAGTTAAAAACACATTGTGAAATTAATTCACGTGTTTCAAAGGTGTTAAAATTAGAAGTCTTGGTTGAATTGACATAAGAAAATGAAATAATCCGATATGTTTGCAAAAAATCAGCGTATACATCTTCGATTGGTAAGGTAAAAATCGACGACAAAAATTCGAAATTCGATTTTTGAGATGAATTTCGACAACTATTCGTCGAAAATTGTTGTGTGCGAACGTTTTTGTGAAACAATTACTTGGCTGAAAAAACACATAATGCATTGCATTACTCTTATTTGACATTAATTAATAAGATGATAAAAAATTATATATGACTGAAACCCGAAAACCTGAAACCCATCGTCATATTCATTGGGGTTTGGCGCAATCAGTTGGCAAGAAATCGACCTTGTGATTGTCAAGATCGAATCCGATGAGAATATTCCTCTGATGCATGTTACCGAAAATAGCAACCGAAGGTTCGTCGCTAACCCCACGCAAGAAAGTCGAACAAACGACCCCTACCCCGACTTCCAAAAACGAGTTTTCATTCGACAACACCAAGTCCACCCCTTGAAAATGCGCGGTTATGGCGGGGTAATTGACCGTCGCCACTTGCCCAAAGCACAACCCGTTTGTTTTTCTCGGGTCCGGCACGCGCTTAGCTGTACCGTTGACTATTGCTTTGACCAATACAGATTCCAACCTGTCGTAAAACGAGCTCGGCAACACTGTCATCGCAGTGGAAGAGTCAATGACAATGTTTCCTATCCTTTTCACTATCTTCGGACTCGAAGAATATTCCAATCTTTGATTCCCGACGCTAATACCCTCCAACGTCACGCTGTAAAAGTTCCGCACGGTTCCACCCGGCCCGTTTCTCAACGGAGTGGACCCCACTTTAGGGCCCGGGCCCACAATCGCGGTACTACCAAATCTTATCCTGCTCGAAGCATCGGAATCTGAACGATCAGATTCCGATGTCGTCAAGCAGTACGAAAAGTACCTGGCCCCACCACCACCACCACCACTTGCCAATTGGTTGACTAACGAAACCGAGCCACGACCAAGACCTAATACCCCAGAGGCCTTCTCCACAAACCCACCCATGTTGTCGTGGCCGCACCCAAACACAACCTTAACCGAGTCGATATTATCGCCGTCGACAAAAGTAAAGGTTTCCAGTGCTATGTCTCCACCGCTACGCGACTCATCCACCGCTTCTTCTTTATAAAAGACGTAGTACGAACAAGGCTGCTGTTCTTGATTGCAAGCTGGGAGAAGCCCCGGCGATGCGTCGTCCAACAACGCGCACTGGTCGGACCCACACGTGAGGTTTCGGTAGGTTTTCGAATTCCTCGGATTGAAGATCGGTGTTTTTTGCTTGTAGCACTCGATGATCTTGTAATCGTTATTGCGGCAAGGAACGCATTGTGTCCACGTTAAGTCGCTGTGGGTGTCGACTATCGCCAATACCTCGACCGCAGGGGTCCCGATTCGGAACTTCGTCACATACTCCCCGGAAAACGGCGAAACCGGAGCGGACAACAAGTTTGACGACGAGCGGGCGATCGAGCGAAGAAACGAGCCCGCCTGGCGTTGCAGACGTGTGCGGGAAGGGTCGTAGAAAGGCGATGATGGCGAATCGCGGTGGATTAAATCAAGAGTGTAACTAGTTGTTTTTGCTGCATCTGATGATGATGTCATCAATATCAAACAAAGGACAAATAAATTATTCGACATGAGAAAGATTGTTGACAAGGGTTTGTAGTAAAAAGCCATGATCTTCATAAATATGTATGTATGCATGTATATGATGGGATTATGTATATAATGTTGCAATCAATTTATAAACTTGGAAGAACAAACACACTCTTATATAATTAATTAATAACAGCTATAATACAATTAATCGATGAATGATTTCATGATTATGATAATTAATACTATGTTAGTGGCAATATAAGTAGTCAAAGATAGTATGAAATAATGTATTGTATTATGTTCAAACTGGAGTAGTTCTGAAAATCATTTTTCTTCATTATTAGATAAATTTATTCTAATTTTGACTAATACAGATTATCATCATCAAGTTTTTCCATATATATATATATATATATATATGGAGGCAATTTTAAACTGAATAATCATAAAATCAGAATGCATACATAACATATATAAAAGATTTTGTGTTTAGTGCGAGTCAACGGAAAATTAAAAAGAAAAAAATAACTTGCCATAATTTGTGAAAAAGTCAAACTGTATAAATTGATGGTACGTAGTAACAAACACTTATATATACTTCACCACACACAACATGCAAATTATATTCATCTGATATATATACATCTGCATATATATCATCATCAATATTATTATCCATGGCTTCCTACAACAATATTCAAAAACCCTTGTCGTTTTTTTTGATATTAATCCTCCTTAATTGTATGATTTGTTTGAGTGAAGAAGCAATTACCGGATCAAATTCATCATCATCTGCTCCCATCATTCCAGATTCGTCGTTCGGCGTGTTTATGATAAAGTTCCGCATCGGAACGCCACCTGTCCAAGTTTTTGGAATTGCCGACATGGGCACTGACCTGACGTGGATACAATGTAGTAGAAGTAGTAATAATACTAATATATTCGATCCCAAAAAATCGAAAACTTTTCGAAATATTTCGTGCGGGTCCGACGAGTGCGGACTATTGGACGAAACCAGGTGCGGTGAAGAAGAACAACCCTGCGATTTCCTTAGTTACTACAGAGATTATGCTACCTTTGTTTCTGGAGAAGCAGCAGCAGAGACTTTCACTTTTGATAATAATAATAATAATATTAATAGTAATAATAGTAATAATAATGATTTAGCAATATTTCCAGAGGTTGTGTTTGGATGTGGGTACAAAAATGAGGGCAAGGCAATATATACAGCTGTGGTGGGTCTTGGGCAGGGCCCGTCTTCCATAGTCAGACAAATCGGAGGTTCCAGATTCTCGTATTGCCTGACGTCATCAAATGTTTCGGCAGGGAGCAGGATAAGGTTCGGCAGTGATGCGGCGGTGACAGCTGGCCCTAATGTGGTGTCGACTCCTTTGAAGAAGGCGTATTCATTCGATGCCCCTAATTATTACATCAGGTTAGAGGGCATTACCGTTGGTGATAAAAGGCTGCAGTTCGTTGGTGGCATGACGCCGGCATTGAAAAGAATGGGTAACATCGTCTTTGACTCTCGCACGTCGTCGACGAAGCTGCCGAGTGAGTTTTATAACCAGCTGGAGTCTGCGTTGGTCAACGCTATCAATGGAACTAGTAAGCGTGTGCCTGATCCGAGAAGAGGTCCCGCCGGATTATGCTACGCCGGCGCAGTCCCGACGGATTATCCGGCGTTGACCGTGCATTTTGAGGGGGCGGACTTGGCGCTGCCGCGCGAGAGCACGTTCGTGGAGGTGGTGGAGAAGAAAGGGGTGGTTTGTCTGACTTTCTTGCCCACGTCTGAATTTCCTGCTTTCGGTAACATACAACAGAGGAATTTTCTCATCGGATTTGATCTTCAGAATCGCAAGATAGATTTCTTGCCCACTGATTGCGCTAAGGTCCACTGATTTAGTGAAACTGAATTTTAAAAAAAAATACTGTACTCTATAATTTCCCAATTTCAAAATAAAAGGCTTAATAATATTTATAAAAAATTCTGTCTTGAGCAAAAAATTGTTTTAAGTTTAATTTATTTGTAATAACATTTTTGGTACATAGATTAGATCAGAAGCAAATTTAATATATAATTCCCAGTGAAATGACTCTGGATTTAATCAATTGCTGGATCTTTGTACCTCTTGAAGACATTTTCAACATCCGCCACAACTTGCGGTGACAAAGGCCGCTCGGTCGTAAGAAAGGCATCAATATCTTGTCTTAACTGTTCAATAGAAGTAGCACCTATTATCGAACTCGTCACGAACGATCTGTCTCGCGCGAATGCAAGAGCTAATTCCACGAGACTCAGTCCGTGTTTTTCTGCCACTTCAAGATATTTTGTCGTAGCTTCCTGAGAATTTCAAAACACGTAAAATGTTTGTAGGAGACGACATTTTTTTTATTGGCGGTAATAATAATAATGCATATACCTTAGAAATCGATTTATTGTATCTTTCCATATACCCGGGGAAGAGTTGAAACCTCCCCGTTTTTGCTGCTTCGGAAGTAATGTCGAGATATTTCCCTGATAATGCTCCACCTGCTAGTGGAGAATAAGCAAGCAAGCCAATGTTGCAGTTGTTTGGGTGGCAAACTTCAACCAGATCAACTGGAACAGTTTAAATTGAATAAGATGAGTATACTTTATTGCCTATCAAATTTTGTAGAGAAGGCTACAATATTGCATTATTAATATAAGAGGATAACTACTTACGTTCAAACTTGCATCTCACTAGCAAACTGTAGCTGTTCTGGATGCTGACGATTTTAGGTAGTCCTTCGACTTTAGCAGCATTAACAAACTCCATAACTCCGTATGAAGTTTCATTAGATACACCAATGTACCTCACCTGTATGTATAAATTTTGAATGAATGTGGGCCGAACAAGATATCTAAGTTTGCAATATAAAAAATGTTGCATGCTCAACGAATATATTTATCATCTTATGATAGTGGGATACATACCTTCCCTTGATTAATAAGTTCTTGAAATCCTCTCAGCTGCTCAACGAATGACACGCTTTCCCTCCATCTTGAAGGATCATAGAAGTATGACCCAAATAATGCAACATAACGGTCTGGCCTGAAAAAAAAAATCGATTAGGTTTTATAAGAGGATATGTAAGGATGAACGTCTGTGGTTGTAAAATAACTAGGAGAATAAGAAAGAAATTTACCAATGTATTTGGAGTAAGTCAATGTAATCTGTATTGAGACGCTTAAGACTTTTTTCGACACTTTCCTTGATATTAGCAGCATCAACTCGCACAACCTCTGAGTTTTCACGTAAATAACTCGATCTCTCGGAGTAACCAGCAACTTTTGTGGCCAAAATAACCTAATAAGAGAAAAAAAATATTTGAATATTGCTACTCAACCAAATTGCTTAACACTCTCAGTGGGATCACTATATATGATGCATAACATGTGAGTTCTCAAAAATCTTTGAAATGATATATAATTCGTTGCATATGCCACATCTGTAATTCTTTATTATTAATAAAGAGTGAACACCCAAAAACATTACAGCAATATTGACCCTCATAGACTGAAGCAACTCTGAATTAACTTGGGCTTCAAATGTTAAAATTCATTACTTAGATCGCTAATGCATGTTGATCTTCGAAGACATAGAATCTGACCATATCGGCAAATATATATCAATAACTACATGACAATCAAATAACATTCAACGAAAATCATAAACAAGGAAAAGCTCGACTCTAATAACTAAATTTAAAGCTACCAGTCCATGACCTATACTCCTTTATCTCAAGATACTTCAGTTTCACTTTTTTAGTAGGTCAGATTTATTAGTCTGAGAATGAAAGACTGTCAAAAAAATGGTGAAGGAAGATCAAGCTATTTCCTGAGTTATGTCACTATGTGCTGCAGCATTTACATATGGTGAAGTTCTTGGCCACAAAGAAATGATTACTAAACCATGAAGGAGTGTCGAAAGTTACAACGTAACAAACTCATTACAGGTAGGATTATATTATGAATAGCCCATTAATATGGTATTTGCATGACATCCCACGCAATCTTGGGTCATACCGAATTGTATGAAGACCGTTGCGAAACGAGGGACGGAATAAGAAAAGATATTAAAAACTAAACAAAAATTTAATCCTGTTATTAAAACGAAAATTTCAAAGCAAATTCTGGTATCAAAGTAACCTTGAAGTATACCTTATCTCGGGGTTGAGACTTGAGCCAGTTTCCAATGTACACATCTGTCCTTCCTTGGGTTTCCTCTTTTATAGGAATCGGATACTTTAAGGGCAAAAAAGAGGAGAAAGGTAGACTTATCAGTCAACATTAAAGGGAACCGAAGATAAAATTATATAGAAAGTAACATAGTATTAAGTATTCAATAGCAAAGCTCTTTCCAGTGGAAGTGAATCCACTTAGACCTGACCACCACATGTGAACCTTTGAACTCAATTGACCAAATTAAATATGCACAATTTGTCGTGAAATACAACCAAACATTTTTTTCCCGGAAATCCAATTTTGAGTTCTCAACATCGATGCCACGAAAGAAAACCGAAATACGATTATGTTACTACACCAGAAAAATCCATATTTGAGTGTTCCAAAAGCAAAAATCTCTCTATCTGGGATACTACATACTCATAAATGTAAATGACATATATTTGGGGTGGTCAGTAGAGAGGTCTGAATGAGCCTTACCACTTCTGCAGTGTCTAGGGCATTAATTCCGCGTTCGAACGCGTAATTGAGTTGCTCGTGAGCCTCTTTCTCAGTATTCTGTTCTCCGAATGTCATCTGCAGTATATGCACAGCACAGACATACCAATTCATCATCTCAAATTAGGCCAATTCAGTTCAAATCCGTAAGTTCAATTTCCTCAGTAAAATACCCGAAATTGAAACTTCACAATTTGAACCTTGCGGCATTACAATTTGATTCCAAAAAGAGGGGTTTTGGTTCAGCGATGAAAAATTAACAATAAAATAATTATGAAGAACTCAATCAATCTTACAGTGCCGAGAGTGATTTCGCTGATGAGAAGATCGGAGTCTCCGAGTTTATTGTACTGCAACGCATTCTCTTCCCGTTTGTTGCTGCTGAAAACTACTAACGAGCTGCTCTTTATATTTCTCTTCAACTTCCGAAGCAACGCGAGTTTCCTCCCGCCTTCGCACGGCGTGGCGCCTGAGAGAAAGTGGCAACGAGTGATGTTGAGTGCGGAGCTTCTGCAATCGGGGAGAAATGTGTGGATAACGGAAGAACCTGACGGTGTAGCCATTGACATATCTTTGTGAACGTCCTTCAATTTTGAAATATATATATATATGAGGAAATGATAACGTCTATAAACGTACAGATGAACGGTGGACGGTGAATACTAGAAATAATACTTTAATTTAATTAATGTTTGCCCCTTCAACTTTTGCATTGTTCGATTAAGGACTTGTTTGGAAATAATCAGCTATTTAGATAAATTGATTTTAGTGCTTAAAGTAGCATGTCACATTTATATACTTGCTATTTTACATCAATTTAAATCATTAGTATAATTGATTTATATTGCAAACATAAGCTAAATTTTTCAAATAAAATTTGTCGTTCAATCATATAAAATAGGACACATTACAGCCACCTGCCTAAAGTAAGATTAAATTACAAAAACACCCAATTGTTTGGATAATTCCAACCACCCCTCAACTATGGATTGTCCTACGAAAAACAGCCTCATTACAATACATAGCTGAGAGAGGTGATTGTAATTGTCAAACATGAGGGGTTGTTTCGTAATTTGATCTTACCTTAGAAGGGTGACCGTAATTTGACCTATAAAATACTTCCAATATACTGTATCTGCACATAAATGAAAATGAATACCACAAGAACACATGCATACTAGACAGGACAAATATACTAAGCAGTATTCAAGAAATAAAAATCAATGTCCGAATTACTCGCTACAAAAATTGTATTAGTAAAAATCAAGGAAACATATGCTTCTCTGCGTCAGAAAACTGCCCGTGAGTCGATCCATAATCTGAATTCGCTGCCACTCAATACTTTCTCTGTAAACAGCAACATGATTGTAAGTTCTTTTACGATGTTTTTACAATTTAAATGAAATATCGAAAAAATGAGAAAACACCGACGACAAACAATATTAAGTTTCAGATTCAAAAGAAAGGCAGATACTATACCTTGCGCTTCTTAAATTTTCTATCTCCACTGGGAGCATCGTTAAAGCTGATTGGTTGCTCTGTGGTGTCACCCTCTGTGGGCAGAGTCTTTATCTCATCGTAGAAACTTTCCGTAGTCAGATCGTTCAACCTGCCATCACCAAGAAAAAATCGCCACCACTTAATCAGTCATTAAAATTAAAATAAAAGATGAAAAACAATAGACCTTTTTTTTTCACTCGAGACTTACCCATTTCGGGACTTGGTTAAATATTTCAGCTTCTTTTTCTCGACTTTAGTGATAGGGGCGCGAGTAAAAAGTTCCTCTTCTTGTTGAGCACGTCTTTCCATCTTCGAGATGTAATTCGTCATTTCTCTACTCTCCGATCCAAGATTTTCTCGTATCTGTATTTTCTCAATAGATCAGCACAACTGAGACAACAAAAGATTCGTATAGCATAAAGAATATATATATATATACTGTGCATGTACCTCTTCAGGTTTTCCCTCGAGATCATCAAGTAACTCTCTAACATAAGAATTCTGTTTTGCCTGCCTCACAAATTGTTCTTCTTTTCTCCTAGCGTTCCTCTTATCTTTTGACGACTTCTCATCCATAGCAGATGGAGCGAATTTTGGGGGCCGATATACACCACTACCATCCTGTAACACATTTTCATCTTTATTTTTCCACAAAAAAAAAAACAGAAAAAAGGAAAGAGGAAACGATAGCTAGCAGCTAATTCTACTAATTAATTTTGACGATGAGTATGGCTTAAATTTTACCTCTTCGCCTGGATTTGTTTTGCTAATAAGCAAGTCAGGATTCGGGCGAAGTTTTAACAAGTCCGCTGTGTTTTGAGTTCCATCCACTTCCTTCTGAACCGAACCTGGTTCTCCCTTCGTCTTTGGTTTAGTATTTGTTAGCTTTTGAATTTGGTACTCGAGTTTTTTGTCGATTGGACGAATCTGCATTAAACAAAGTCATAATGCAAAAAATAACCATCTCAGATGTATACTAAATTCAATGAGATTTATTTTTCTTGTCTTCTTTTCCTTAATTTGAAAACAAACATGAAAAGAAGATATATGATAAGATACCTTTTCTAAGAATAATCTTGACTCGACAAGACTCCTAACAACAGGATGCTCCTGAATTGATAATCCTTTTGCTTTTCGAAGCACAAAATAAACAAGCGACTGGCAATAGTTTAGGAGAAGCAAATGTTTAGCCTCGAGATAGCTTATGCCATCTGCTGTGGGGAAATTACCTGCTTTCACCTGTGCATAAACACCACTCAAAAAATTAAATAAATAAATAGCTCGTGTCTCCTCTCCCTCCCATTTCACTTTTATGTATTAAACATCATATTTTCCTTCTCCACAATAGGACCCACAATTAAAAAAGATCATTATATCTTCTTTTCTTTTACATTGAGAAATACAATTCATAATGCTGGAAAAAATCATTTGATACAACCATTCATACAAGATTTGACGTCTCTGTCTCCCACAATCACTAAACAAACATTACTTTAATTTTCAATCACCTTGCCCCAATGACTCGGAATCACTAACCAAATGTAGTGTTACAAAATTGAAAATCTTACAGCTGTTAATCAGCTTAAAAAGCACAAAGCAGAGGGAATACAAGGTGAAATTTTGAGTATTTCCTATTAACCGGAACGACTGGGGATTTTGACTCAAAGTTTGTGCATAAATCACAGACAAAAAGCATAATTAATCTTCTTGTATTCGTTTTGTAGTTTTTTTCAAAATTGAGACAATAAATCTTCTTTCTGTTCTGTAAATCAAAAGGTATTGTAGTAACATACGTACGTCGACCTGATACGCCACAATATGAGCAATAAAACTAGTACCAAGACCGAATTAATGTAAGTTACAACACATAACCATGATGCCATTATTTAAGCCAATAATAGGCGACACAAAAGATTAAAGGATCTAATCATACCTTATCAGTAAAAGCCTGGATTTTAAATCCCAGGGAATCCAAACTATCTTTCATTTCCTTCAACAGAGGAACCAACTGTGGAGATTCTCTGGACCATTCAATTTATACAGAATCAGAGGGTTCATTAAGAAAACGAAAAAAAAAAATCATAAACAACAAAAATGGAATCAGGCTTACCTGCTTATTCGTTCATTGTTCGATACAAGTTGAGTAGCATCTGCCATTGGCGGAGCTTCTCACCGAATTCAACCACAATCAAATACCTAAGGCCTAAAGCATACGAAGATAAATTACGACACAGATTTTACAAATGAGAAATATGACAGCAAGAACAATGGGACAAAATATTCAAACCATGGAACGGACAACCCATTTTTCCTTCGGGTTTCAAGGAACAAAACCTTTTTACTTTCTCCTCATTAATCAAATTTTAAATCGGATGTCCAATATAATATCAATCGAAGCATGACACTCCTATTTCAATTTTCTGTGACAGTAGATTTCTCAGTAAAACCGAAACTGAAGTGCTAAATATAGCAACGCTTTCCCATCTGTTATCATAAACTCCAAGATTCTTTATCTTTCAATTTACAAAATCATGATTTACGTTGTATACAGAATAGTGAAACAGCAAACTTCTTTTTATTTCATCACAAATTAAAAAGTGGGACAAACATAGTAACCATGATTCGTTATATTCAAATCCCAACATTCTCCAATCCTATAATTTTGAGCCCTAACACCAAAAAATCAAACCCTGCGTCTACATAACCAAAGCATCACAGTGGACGATTAAAAAAAAAAAGGTAACCAATTCAAAACAAAAAATTGCATATTAGCAGAGTGGGAACTCCCCCAATCAGCTTTATGCAATGCTAGAGAGAGAGAGAGAGAGAGAGAGAGAGAGACACACACACACACACACACACACAAATGAGGAACGACGGTGCCATAGTAGAGAGAAAGTACCTGGAAACAATGTCAAACCACGGAATCGAAGTGTTCACTTTCGAGGTAAATTAGCAGAGAAATTCGGCTCCAGAAATTCGACGAACTCTGATAAAAAATGGGGGGTTTTGCAGCTTTAGGGTTTATATGAATTATGATTTATTTACAACTTTACCCTTCGAGTAAGACTAATTTGTGACGACGTCGTTTCGAAAGGAAGCAAATGGTGGCTGTTTGGGTCAGATGGGGAAATAAATATTGGGTGAATTGGGCCGCATAAATAATTGACATGGCTTAATTGGGCCTAGGAAATTCTGAATTAATTGGCCCAACATATATTCTAGCCCCGAAGCAATTATTATTTATTATATTAACATAAAAAGGACACTTGTCATTTTATTATTGGATATCAAAGAATATTGTAATATGTCATCCCCTCGGGTTCGAACCCGCCAGCTCACGGGGCCAAAAAATCGTGGCATGTAACGGTCGGATCCGTTTCGGGACAGGTCATGATCCGCTAGGGTCCGGGTGGTTGATGACAAGTTAAGGGTTAATTTTTCTCCCAACCGTTTTTTAAAAAAAAAAAGATTATTTTAAGTCGGTCGGGTCGACCCGACGGTTCGAGATTGGTCGGACCGGGCGCAAAATAATAAATTGTGCCTTTAAGTAGTACGAGGTTCGGGGGCAACGACCCCCAATTTTTTTCCCGGTATATTACATATCGACATAATATAGATACATATTTATTTATAGAAACCTCGTTATCAATTAGAGAATGAATACATTGCATATTCGAATTATAATTATTGTTAATTTGAAGGTTGCTGGGATTGAAAGAACAATAATAATCCGAATGGTATCGTACCACAATACGAATAATTATCGAAGAATCGGTATAATTAACAAGCATTCAACCACTGATAAAAAGAATTGTTCACATGTATCGCACGTGTATTGCACGTGGATATGGAGGATTATTAAGTATAGCCACGTAATACGCACGTGACATTTTCCATTCAAACTAACAGCAAAATTAAACGGCTGACTGAAAAAGCGTTCAAAAAATCGTTACTTTAAGGACCAATTTTGTGTCGGAAAAAATATAAGGCTTAAAATTGATTTTGACATATAATCTATATGCCAAAACTGCAGTTATTCCTTAATAAATTAAAAGAAAATAGATATTAGTTAATTCAATTTCCCTTCGTGTGTCCTTAGATTGTTATGTTTATTTTCTTTTAAATTTTAAAATATAAAATAATTTATGTTGGGGGCAAGTGTTAAAAATGATACTTGCCACCACGAGGTCCCCACTGGAGAAAGCCGCGGTGTTTGCCAGGCGGCTCGTAGCTTAGTCGTCGTGGGGCGTGCTAGCCACACTCGACGCCATGAGTGGCTCTCCATTCGGCAACGTGGTCTCGTTCAGCGACGCATCCACCGGGGTTCCTTACTTCTACTTGTCCAAAACGCTCGACCGACCGGCCCTAACGCGTTAAGCAACAACCAGTCGTCCTTCACACTTAGCGAAAACGAGCTCGGCACCTGCAATAAAAAAGATCCGCAGTCTCCTATTTGCGCGAAAATTACCCTATCTAGCCAGGTATATATATATATATACATACATATATATATATATATATATATATATATATATATATATATTCTCAATATAATCTAAAGTTATATTTAATTTCCCTAACTCACTTTAATTAAATTTGATTTAATTGCAGCTGCATTTGCTTCCGAACAATACAAAGGAAGCCAAGGTTGCCGAAGATGCTCTCTTCGGAAAGCACCCTCGGCTTACAGGTAAAATTAATTTTCATTATTCTTTGTGTTACATTATATTTATTAAATTTAATATTTATGGTTTTTTTTGTCTTATAACACCAACTCATTTCGGTTGCACGATGGCCGGGGAGAACGGGAGCTTCAGTATTTCAAGCTCGTGATCTG